GGAAAATTGGCCAAGACCTTCAAGAATGTGAGACCAAACTGCAGCTGGTTAATCAACAGTGCGTAGTGTACCAGCTTAAATGTAACCTGTGTGATACAGGGAGCTATGTTGGCTACACGCACGGGCATTTATATGCCTGCGTGGATGGCCATAAAAACACGTCATCTTCGGTACGTAAGCACTATGACAACGACCATGGGAGTGCTGTCCCTGAGGACCTCCTCAGCTGTTTCAAAGTTCTCAAGAAATGCATGAACTAATTCGATTGTCTTGTCAACGAGATGCTTTACATCAAACAATTAACACCGAGTTTGAACATGCAAACGGATTCTATCCATGCTAAAGTATTTGTGTAGCCACCTCCGCTATGTAAATTAGTTATAACTTGAACTCGCATTTGTTAATTTAATTCTCATTTGTACCCTTGATAATGGCGTCATGAGGTCGCCAAAACATCGGGAGATTATATCATTTGTTTTTTACTTGTCTATGTATTACTAAATCATTGTTAATAAGTGTCGATTTGGGTGAAAAAAATTTTTTTGCGAAAGGGCTTGAATCTTTGCATATGGTCTTCACTGTAATAGAAAAACATGGTCCTGAATTTTTCCTGCTGGGTTTTGCCTCGTTTAGGAAGACGCCGCTAGGAAAACCAAGTGGTTTTTTTTGCATACGCAATATCTTGAAAACAAAGTGAAGCTTAGCGGAAAAACTACAGGACATTGCTAAACATACCTAAACAAAACTGCATGCAAAATTTGGAGCGTTTTCGACAAAGTTCACTTTTGATTAAAATAATCAAACACCCTTTTCCCGCCGAGGCCTTCAAATAAACAAAGCCAGGCCTTTGTTATGATAAACAGAGCCGATCCTTTGTTGTAATAGCCAAGCCAAGCCTTTGTTATAAGTCAAAGTCTCGCCTCGGTTTATCATAACAAAGGATCAGCCTACCGCGACTGCAAGGACTTTGATTTCACTTAGAAACAAGCAAAATGTCAATTTCATGCAACGCATAAGCTCAATGATGTTGATTTCAGATCTAAATAGGTTAAAATGTTGATTTCACATTAACGCATGACGGTAAGGATGTTGATTTCACTTAGAAACCAGCAAAATGTCAATTTCACGCAGTGCATAAGCTCAATGATGTTGATTTCAGGTCTAAATAGGTTAA